GCTAACCAGTATTTTCGCCCCTTCCCAAAATTACTTCAACGGAAGGTTTCCAGATGGATATGCAGAGCAAATCCATCTGGCGGAGTCAGGTTAAAGTTGGGCACCAATTGGGAGAATTTGGAAATGCAACGGTTGGAACAGCCGCTTCCCTACGACTTTAAAGGCTGGTTATCCTCCTGCAGCAGCGTGTCGCACTGAGCTTATCTCAGATATTTTTGATTTATTCCCAATATTGAAGCGTTGTCTGCTCTATGTTATTCCTTCCACAACGCAAGACAGACAATCAGGAACTAGCTGATTGTCAATCAGAGACCTCCTATCTGCGGTCACCTCCACCTAAACCTGGTTTCTGATTATAAATCAGCCTCTGATTGGTCAATTCTCCATCTGCTCTACTCTATGCTTATTTCCTGTTTGGTTCCTTACCGGCTTATTTTGTTTGTCTGACCGCCATTGTGGAAATCGACTGGTGAAGATGGAGCAGCTAGAAGAGCGAGGTGCGCGAGACGCTGGGACCCTTTTTCCACCTGGATCCCAGCTCTTTTTGGCCCTCATGTCCCTCCGTTGTTGCATAAACTTTCCCCCACTCCCTCTTCTCCTCGGCCGTATCTAGACCCACAGCTAGTTCCTGATGGAGGATAACCAGGCCTTAAGTAGTTGTTTCCAGCAGATAGCATCTTATTTCACTCAACAGGTTAATAATCTATTATCAATTTGAACTATTCAGGTAACAATCATTTCTAGAAAAATGAGAAGGGGATAAAAACTGGGTCCTGGTATCGGACGCCTTCTCTCTCTCTCTTCTTTCTCCTTCCTGTCAGTTCCTTTTTGAAACCCAGACTTTGAAACCCAGGCGAATATTTTTAACCAAACGGCTGCTTATTTACACCTTTTCTTGTTCATTTGTTTCTTTTATTATCAATACGTAAAATGACGTGCGCGTGTCATTTAAGACCCGGTAAGAGCAAACTGCTGGTGAAGGACGGGGAGACCTGATGCGATGCAGGAGCTGAGGACCAAACCATTTATTGCAGTTTCACAGGAAGGGGGTGTGTCAAAAAATGCATGCCTTGTTTCACTGTTTACTGCTGAAAAATCAGGGAGAACCTGAAGATTATTTATTTTACTGCTGGATTTTCTTTTTTATATTTGAAAAATTTAGCGGGATTTCTTCTTTTGAGTCAAGGGCCCTTAGAATGGTCCTAACTTCCCCCCCTAATACGGCACCCCTGGTCTAAAAACCACAATCGTAGGATGCAATCCCAGAGGGTCCCTCCTCACTGCGCTTTCATCTGATGGTGTGTTTTCGGTCCTCAGATCTCAGATGCCTCTGGGTCCATGAAGGTGTCCTGCGTGGCTCAGTCCAGTCCATTCAAACAGGCNTGTAATTTCTCAACACAAAGTACTTTAGAAATGATCAGAGAATATACAAAATTAAAATTAAAAAAACAATAAAAAAATAAAATAAAACATCCAATATGACAAAAAACACTTCAGGGCATCAAATAGAGTCTCAGAATCTTTTAAAAGGAATATATAAAAAATGTCTTTAGAGCCGGAGGTCTTCAACGTTTTCCAGGCTAAGGGCCCCAAACTGATGGCGACGGAGCGGGGACCCCCTAATTATATATATTGAATAAAATAGTGTTCAATCAAACTGCTCCTTTAGTCGCTCTATTACAGATGGAGTAATGTAACTAAAGTAATCCCTCCCTGGGATTATTAAAGTATTTCTGATTCCTGGTTGATGGGACAGGTGTTGTGAATGAAACTGTGTCCAGCTTGAAAGAGCTCCTGTGTGTCGCTGAATGTGTGCATTTATCATGGGCGGTTCCAGATAGGGGCCAACGGGGGCCAGTGCCCCTGTAGATCAGGCCCTGGCCCCTGTTATGGCCCCTGTACTGAAGACATAAAACTCCAACAAAATCTAATGATGATCTGGGCTGGAACAGGCAGAGTTACTGATAGCTCCTTTGGATCTATTTCATTTTTTTCCTTTATAAATTCTGTTTTACTAATTATTTAAAAACCATAAGGTGATAGTTTCAGTGGGATTGAGATAGGATCCCAGTTTCCATCTATTAAATGTGTTTTTCAAAACAAATTGCTCTATTTTTTTTTTCTTGAGTTCTAATTCAGATTTTGTAGAAAAAAGGTAGTTTTAACTAAAAGTCAAAAATATGGAAAATTCTTAAATTCTGACCTAATATGACATAGAATTTTAAATAAACCTAATTGAATAAAATTTTCACTTCATGGAGCTCTATAAATATATTTGAATCCTTTGCCTTTTTTTTTTTTATTTCATGCTTTTCGGGCCCCCATGAAAACATGCTGGCCCCCTCCCGGCCCCCTGGTACATTTGGTCTAGAACCGCCACTGGCATTGATGACTGAAAGACATCTTCTGCCTCCATTTATCTGTTTACTACAGTCTG